CCCCAACTGCCTCAGGATGATTCCCGCACTGGGCAGTCTCTGCTAGTGAGGAGTTGAGCTAGGGTGCTCCCGCCCCCCTTCCCTTCCCTTCCCCTCCCTCTCACACAGGCCTCCCCTTTGAACCCCTCCTAGCCTTTGTTCAAGCCTGTTTCACGGGCAGGGGAAAATGCCGACTGGGCACGTCCTCAGGACATCTGCCTGCCCCCTGAAAACCAAACAACTCTAGCTTTTCAAGATAACTCTCAGCATCTGGTTACAGTTGAATCGATAACTTAGCACGACCCCCTCCCACCCTTGTTCCACAACAGCAGCCGCTTGCTTTTTAAAAGTCAAGTCATTGCCCTACCCTGTTTCCTCAGTGGTTGGAGCATTGGCCCATGGACTGAAGGGCCCCGGGTTCGATTCCAGCCAAGGGCACCGACTTCGGTTGCAGGCTCGATCCCTAGCCCCGGCTGGGGTGTGTGCGGGAGGCAACCAATCCATGTGTGTCTCTCACATCGATGTTTCTCTCTCTCTCTCTCTCCAGTGAAGATTAAAATATCCTCAGGTGAAGATTAAAAAACAACAACAACAAATAAAAGCTCAAGTCACTCTTTCTTCTGGGCTGATATTGCTCTAGCAGTTCCTGGCCCTTCCCACCCTTGGAAAGTAAAATAAATTTCCTCACTGCATTTCTTCTTCTTTGTAAGTTCTTTTATGGCCCGTGTCACCGGCCAGTCTAATAGGAAGAGGCGCCAGGATTTTAGCTTTTTACTAGAAAATGCAAGATGTATCTGAAGGGTCCCAATGCATTGACCGAAGCCGTAAAATACACCTTAGCTGTTGGTTCTACACAAAGTCAATGGCTCATTTAGGCTTCTGAAGCCATCGCTGTTACCAAAGTGAATGATTCACTAGAAATGGGATGTCCTCCTGTTGACACTGGGGACCTAGGGGACTCTGCCACATCCACTCTGGACAACTGAGGATGAAAGTGGAGGAAAGCAGAGCTCACCCCATCAGAGAAGGGTAAAGCTCTTGCTGCTGAGAAGCTGCAGACCAGTCCATTTTTCTGTCCTCAGCAGGAGGGCAGCCACTGCTTAGTTTAGATTCCAGCCACACAGAAGACGACCCAGCTGGAAAGTATGCTTGCACAGTGCTTCCTCTGCGGTGTTACATCGTCAGTTCCAGAGCCACTCATGTACTTTCTGTCATTGTTATGTTGTTAGGTTCCATAGCAGCTTCCAACTTACACACTTGCTGTCATTGTTACATCATTACCTTCCACAGCCACTTACACACTTATGTCATTAGCAGAAAAGCCCCTCAAAGATGTCCACCTTTTACGCCCCAGAAGCTGTGCATATGTGATCTTATATGGCAAAGGATTTTTGCAGTGGTGATTAAATTAAAGATCTTGAGATGGTAAGATTATCCTGTATTATTATTCTTGTAAGGGAAAGAGGAAAGCAGAAGTTGGAGAGCCCGAGAAGGAGGTGTGGAGATGGAAGCAGCAGTTGGAACGACGTGATTGTTGGCTTGGAGGGTGGAAGGGAGCCATCATCCAAGGAGTCTCCAGCGTCTCCACAAGGGACACATCCTGCTAAAAACTTGATTTTAGTACTTCTAACTTTCAGAACGATAAGATCATAAGTCGGTGTTGTCTTAAACCACTAGGTTTGTAGTGATTTGTTACAGCAGCCGTAGGAAACTTATACCTGCGGACATTTGCATCATCGGTCCCAATTTTTTACATTTCACTCTTCGACCTTGCAGTTCTTTATAGAGCTAGTGTGAGGTCGTTTCCCCACCCTGGACTCTGGGTTGGCCAAATGGCTTGTTTTGGCCACCAGATGAGAGGCAATGGTGTGCCAGTTCTGAGCCCAGGCCTGAAGGAACTTTCTGTCTCTGCTCACTTTGTGCTTGTGTCATTGCCATGATGAGGGCCTGGGCTAGAAGACTGGTTTGAGGAGGAGTGACAATGGAGCAGAGCTATCCCAGTTAAAGTATTCCAGCAAGCAGAGGCCCCAGCTGAGCCACAACCTACTTAGCTCAGCCTAGGCCAGCTACGACCCTTACTGACCACTTAGTTGTAATGATCACATGATGGTTGGCTTCAGACACTGAATGTTGAGTGGAATATTACATAGCAGTAGCTAAGTGAGTCAGTGCCTTATAAACGAATGATGGCTACTGGGAAAGCAATGCTCCAAGTGCTTTTTACATCTCATTGCAATGCTTGCTTTTGCTGAGCGAGTGGCGCAGGCCATAACATTTTAGGTATTTCATGTCTGGCTGGTCCCAATTCTACAGTCTCCTTATGCACAGTGCAATAGCCAGGAACAGAAAAATCAGAACCTTTCCCACTCCCCCAGCTCCCTCCTCCCAAAGAACTCACACTGTAGGAGTCTGTAGCTCTCTTTTTTATTAGTTTATTTATTGAAACTATAAAATATAATAAGTTATATATACAGAATTAGACAAAAAAATGGACAATTAAGACTTCATTGGCTAGGGACCACTGTTCTAGCCTGGGGTGCTTTCTAAATGTTTTTAAGTCTAGCAAAATAATGACTGTCTCCACACAAAATGTCAGGGTGGATTCCCAGCTTTGACCAGTGATAATCATATGGTCTCACTGATTTGAATTCCATGCGCAGGCTGAAGCTTATCAGAGTAAACGTTTTTTTGGATTTGTCTCCAAAAAAGTAAATGACAAAGAAATGTGTAACTGTATGTGCAGCTAGCTCCCTAAAAATGGCAGGTTGAGAGTCAATAAAACATGATCTCATGCTGGCTGACCACTGGCCCCGGAATTCAACAGTGTGAACAGAGGGAACCTTCCTCTCCCCCACCCGGCGGGGGGTGCAGAAAACAGCCACCCCTGCTCCTTCACTGCAAATGTTGTTCTAAGGAAGCTGCAAGCTGTTATCCTGGAAATGTGTGCTCCTTACATGTGACATCTGCAGTCTAATCAAGGGGGAGACTCTCACCATCGTTGTCACGAAGCAGGAGAAAGGGGCATCCTGGACTTCAGGAGGGTTGAAAAGGGTAATTCAGTTTTGCTGTGGTGTATTTAGCTTGCAGGATATAGCAAATAGGTTCTGACAAACAGCAGCAAACAGACATAGCAAATGATGATATTAAATATTCATTATGATTCTATCACAACATGTTCTACATTCATTGGTGGGAAATTGCTTGTTGGCTTTAAACATGACTGATTTCCTCCCTCAAAGCATCTGCTCGGTCATAGAACTTGTAATTTTAAAACGCACTGCTTTCTGAGTGAAGGGCTGGTGGTAATTTAGTAGTAACCACAGTCAGACCCGTCCTTAGGGGGCTCGGCAGTGAGCTCCAAGCTAAGCCCCTGCTGTGATCACTACCCTGGCTCCCAGGCTCTTTGCAATTACAGGTGTCGTAAGAGAGCCTGCCAAGAGCAATGCCCGTTTATTAACCTCGTTTCCGAATGTATGCCAAACAATCGCGCTTACTGTGGAAACTTGGAGTTTTTTGTTTGGATTCTCATCTTTCTTGATGCCCACGCGCTATTCACGCCCATGGAGCACCCCGGAGGCCTGGCATTTCCTGCGGCTCCGCTTTCTTTCTGCTTATCTGAGCCTTACTTTCCTTGTGATTACAGAATCACAGACTGGCCTCTCAGCTGCAGAAGCCAAACAGGCGCAGGGACGAAGAAGAAAACGGCCCCTGATGGCACAACCAGAGCCAGGCCCCCGGGCCGCAAGCCCAGGCTCTCCCTGCGTGCCCCGATCTCTCGCACCACACACCTCATGCGTGAGTCTCGGACACTGGAAATCAAGAATTATGTGGCTGAACTGTTAGGGAGTCGCTGTTTCCCTTTCTAAGCAGAGTTGCCACCCATTTCTCTTTGAAGCAACAACAGCCTGACGCGCACTATCAGTGGCTTGTGTCCTTTGAGCACTGCTGCCCCCTAAGGGTCAGATCTGACTGCGAATGAGGGGGGAAGGCAATTTGTGTGTGATAAAGAGCAATGGGGTTCCCAGGCCTAGAACACACGCGGAAAATAAAACCGACGGCTGCGCAGGTCTCCTTGATTGGACGGACACACGCCTTGCCTGCCGGTGACGTAAAGCAGGTTCTTCCATCCAGGACTCGAATGGACGTAGGCATGGACGGCCTCAAAGACAGGCAGAGCCATGCTAACGAACCCACTTGTACTGGCCCGGACACACACGCGGTGGGCTGTCTGCATTTCGTAGCCATTTCACTGAACTTCTGAGCTGCTTTCTTCATGTGGAGGCCGCCGGCCTTCATCACCCCAGTGGAAGCCACCGCTCTCTCAGAACTTTATGACATTCTCTTAGAATCTCCTCGTTCGGGTTGTTTGACATCTTCCAGCAAAGCGGTTCGTGGACATGCCTCTGTCTCTCACTGGGCTGTAAACTCCTTAAACAGGGACCAGGTTCTTCACCTCTGTCATCCCCACAGTTTTGGCTCATTTGAGTACCAACAGCGCCCCGCACGAGTTCAGGGCGGTGGGCCGGCCGGCTGACCGGATACTCTCTGCCCGGGAGGTGCGGCGGGGCTGGGAGCGCCCGGCTTTAGTCTTTTATCTGCAGCTTCCTCTTGTTCCCTGGAAACAGCCCGAGGCCTGCCCGGGTGACAGAGCAGGAAAAGCCCTGATTCTCGGCAGTCTGTTGGCACCACCGCAGCTCCAGAGCCCGCATTAGAGCCTGAGCCCTCATTAGATCGCCGGTGCACCCCCAGAGCAATGGTGGGGGGCACGCTCTTCAGGACGCAGAGGGCAGCGGGGAGGCGGGCGGCATGACCCCGGCCCACTCCAGGATGTCCGCGCACAGGGACTCCACGGCATCCAGCCGCTCTATCTGCACCAGTTTTGTGAGCAGCTCGGGGATGCTGTAGCCTGCCGTGCTGATGCGGTCAAACAGCTGCATGCCGTCCGTCATGCCCCCAATCTCGTCCCTCTTTAGCCCGAAGCTCTCGGCGAGGTGGCGCCACGTTTTCACAACAGCCTTCTCGGAGTTGTACGTGGAGCTGAGCATCCGGCTCGTCTTCTCAAGGCAGTCAAAGGGCAGCTCCGTGGGGCTGAGACCTGCGGAGAGGAAGGGCCACAGTCAGATGCTGCAAACGGCAGTCAACGGAAGAGCAACAGCATTAAAATTATTTTTACAGTTCCCGGTCAGGGCACGTGCCCGGGGTGCGGGCTTGATCCCCAGCAGGGGCCGTGCAGGAGGCAGCCGATCAGGCTCTCTCATCATTGATGTTTCTCTCTCTCTTTCTCTCTCTGAAATCAATAAAAATATGTTTAAAAAAACAAAAGCCAGCTTTTTAAAAAAATTGTAAAATAAGACATTCAAAATAAATGCATAGCTTAAGGCAAGCAACACCCAAGACTTTGGCAGCCACACGAAAAGTCTTTTCATAAACCTTAGTCCCATTAATGACCTTTCTCCTCCTAGGAAAAGAACGACCGTAACCACATTGACTGTTGCAGGAATCCCCTCAAGACCATTTCAGCGGCCACCAAAGCTTCAATACAGGCTGCCCTCAGTTGAATAACCCTGCCTTACTTGGACCCGGGCCAGGAAGGAGGTCAAAGGGACAGTACCACGTCCCTTCATGGGGACAGTGGTCACTTTCATGAGAGGTGTTCTCAAAGGCAGCCCAAAGTTGGTGTTATCTGAGCCAAGTCACTGCCAACTCCGTGGACACAGACTTTGCTATACTTTAGACTCACCTAGAAGCATTTTAAACAACTGATGCATTTCCACTTCTGGAAGATGGAATAGGCATGCTTTCCCCCATTGCTCTGGGTAAGTAGAGCGAAAACCCCTGGCACTATGTATAAAGCAAACATGAAAAGACTCTGGAAAGTGGGGACCTCGGGACGGGGGCAGTGATACAGTGGTGAGTTCCTTGGTGTTCCTTTCGCTTCATCACCCAAAGATGGAGCTGAAGAGTTCAGGAATCCAAATTCCAACGATAACAAAAGTACCTCCAACAAAAGCCTGGCTCTCTAAAGCACTAAGAGAAGCTTAGCAAGAAGAAAACATTCGGACAATAACTGCTTTACTGCAGCCAAACATTACAGAAAAACTGTGGTCCCACCACCACCAAGGCCAGCAAAGGCTGGCTGAGGAATCTGGAACATTGCACCCGGGTGGTGTCGGGAAGGCCAAGTAGGGAGCCGGGACTTCCTTATCAGCTGGCAACAAGCCTCCCAACCCCCAGGGTGTCAGTGGGGACACTTGGAGAAACAGATTCCCACCCCACAACCAGCAACAAAAAGGAGCCAACACCTGGATATCTGAGGAGGCTGAGCGGGAACTTGGACATCTACCTGTACCTGCCAGTAACAAGGTGGCACCCCCCGCCCCTGCCACAGAGGCAGGACAGGAAGACAGCTATAGTAGAAGGTTAAATAAGATCCAGAGTTTCAAAACATGATATAAAACTGTCCAGATTTCGATAGAAACTCACTCGTCATACCAAGAAACAGGAACATCACAAAATAAATGAAAAAAGGCAACCAATAGACACCAACACCTCCGTGAGATGTTAACATTATCTGACAGTTTTTAAAATAAGCCATGATAAAAATGCTTCAAAAGTAATTTCAAACATGCTTGAAATGAACCAAAACATTAAAAGCCTTAGCAAAAGATAGAAAATATAAAGATGAACCAAATGGAAATGTTAGAACTGAAAAATACAATAATCAAGATTAAAAACTCAGTAGATATGCTCAAAGGCAGAACAAAGACAGAGGAAAGAGTGAACTGGATAATAAAATAGAAATTACTGAACCGGAACAACAGAGAAAATAAACTGAAAAAACACAGAGGCCCAGGGATTTGTGATGCTGTAACAAAAAAAATCTCACATTTGTTTCATGGAGTTCTAGAAGGCAAGGAGAAAGACAGTGCGGCTTAACAAAGTAATAATGGCTGAAAACTTTCCAAACTTGGAAAGAAAAAAAGGCCTACAGATTCAAGAAGCCAAGAAAATGCCAAACAGGATAAACCCAAGGAAAGTAATATCAAGACACATCATAAACAGACTTCTGAAAACTAAAGAGAATAAAGTCTTAAATGCAGCCAGAGAAAAACCACACCTCATCTGTAGGGAAAAGGCAATTAGAATGACTGTGGATTTCCGAACAGAAACCTGGAAGTCAGAGAGAAGTGGCACAGTGTTTCCAGTACTGAAAGAAAAGAGCTGTCAACCCAGTGTCCCATATCCAGTGAAAATATCCTTCAGGAATGAAGGGGAAATCAAGACATTCTCAAGATAAAAACTAAAAGAATTTGTCACTAGTGAAGCTACCCTAAAAGAATGACTAAAGAAAGTCTCTAAACAAAAAGGAAGTGATAAAAGAATAAAACTTGGAGTATCATAAAAGAACACAGTAAGCAAAATTTGGGTAAATACAAGAATCTTTCTTTTCTTTTTAAGTTTTCTGAATTATTATTGTCAGTTGATGCAATGGATGTGGTTCTACATATATGTAGAGGAAATATATAAAACAACTATAAACACAAAGAACATAGGGAGGTAAAGTTTATACACTTCACTGAAGCTAGTAAAATAATGACACCAGTACACTGTGATAAGTCATGCATATATAACACCCAGAGAAACTACTAAAATAGCTACAAAAAAAGATTTGCTCAAAACACATCAAATGCATCACTCAAAAAAAATCAAAATGGATTTCTAAAATATGTTCAAGTAACCCAAAGGGAAGCAGGAAAAAAAAAAAAAGAAATAAAAAACAGACTAAACACACAGTAAACATAAAATATAAATGCTAAACCCTAGCATATCAATAGCTACATTAAATGTAAAAGGTTTAAATATCAATTAAAAGACAAGAGTTTGGCAGAGTGAATTTAAAAAATAACCCAGCTACACGCTGTCTACAAGAGACTCATGTCAAATATAGTGATATGGACAGGCTGAAAGTAAAAGAATGGACAAAGATAGATCATGTAAACATGAATAAAAGAAAAGCAGAAGTGGCTATCACATCAGACAAAGCAGACTTCAGAACACAGGAATTACCAGAGACAGAGAGGGACACTGTATAATGATAAGAGGGTCTGTTCAGTAAGAAGACAGAGCAATCCTAAACGTGTATGCATCAAACAACAGAGTCCCAAAATATGTGACACAAAAACTGACAGAACTGAAAGAATAAACAGACAAATCCACAATACTAGTTGGAGGCTTCAACCCCTCTCCCTCAGTAATCAATGAAACAATTAGAATATAGAAATTAACACCATCATTAACCAAAAGAACCCAATCAACATTTATACAACACTCCAGAATATACATTCTTTTAACAGAATATATATTCTTTTCAAGTGTAGGCCTTATACCCCAACAAAGAAATTTAAAATAATTGAAATTATATACAGAGTGTATTCTCTTACCACAATAATATCAAACTGTAAGTCAATAACAGAAAGATAACAGGAAAATCTTTACACACTTGGAAACTAAACAACACACTTTTTTTTTTTTTTTGGCGGAGATTGAATTTGGTTCATTACATTTATTTCCCCATGGAGTTAATGCATTTATAGACATGCTTTATTTTTCAAATGGAGAAATACTGTTTTCAGAGATCTTTATTAGGTTTCTGCCAGCTTCCTTGACTTTCCATTCTAAGAAAATTGGTTTGTATGTGGGGGTGAGGGAGGAAAGATGTGGGGAGTCCTCATCTTTCTGGAAGGTTCCAGAACCAAAAATTATTGATGCTTCCCAAGTTGGGAAGGGTTACTGGCAGTCACTTCCTGCTTTGTATCCTGCCTCCCTCCGTGAGGAAGGCCACTAGCACTGGGAATAACTCCACAGTGCTGACCCCCCACTGCATTCTGGGGGCTCCGCTATTTAGCTGGCCTCTATCTTGCCCCACTGTTAATGCATTTGGTGTGTTATGAGGTCTAAACAACACATTTCTAAATAATCCAGGAGTCAAAGAAGAAATCTGAAAGGAAAATTTTAAAATAATTTAAAATGAAAATACAACATATCAGAATTTGTAGGACACACTTAAAGCAATATGAGAGAATATTTATATCACAAATCCATATATTTCAAAAGAGAGTCTCAAATCAATAATCTAAGCTCCCATCTCAAGCTTAGATCCTACCTAGAAAAAGATTAGCAAAATTTACCCAAAGTAAACAGAAGGGGGGATATAATAAAGAGCATGAATCAATGAAATTGAAAAAAGAAATACAATAGAGGTAAACATGAAAAGAGCTGCCAGTTCTTTGAAAAGATCAACAAAATGGACAAATTCTAGTAAGATTTTCAAAGAAAAAAATAACAAAATAGGACACAAACTATCAATAGCAAGCAATTGAGAAGGTCATATCACTACAGACCCTACAGACGTCAAAAAGATAATAAAGGAATACTACAAGCAACTCTATACACATAAATCTGACAACTTAGAGGAAATGGAACAATTCCTCAAAAAGCATAAGCTACCACCACTTACCCAGGATGAAGTAGATCATTTGAATAGACTTATCAAGATTAAAGAAGTGGAATTTGTAGTTTTCAAAATCACCACTATCCCCAAGAAAAACCTATAGGCCCACATAGTTCCATTGGAGAACTCTACTAAAATTCAAAGAATTAACACCAATTCTACATAAAATCTGGAAAATAGAAAATGAGGAAACACTCCCCAGCTTATTCTGTGAAGCTAATATTAGCTTGATACCAAAACCAGATAAAGACAATACAAAAAAAACAAAACAAAAAAAAGAAGAAAAGACAACACTACACACCAACATCCCTCATGAGTGTAGATGCAAAATCCTCAACAAAATATTAGCCAATAGAATTCAACAATATATTAAAAGAATTATATGCATAAAAGTGGGTTTTATTCCAAGGATGCAAGGCTGGTTCAATATTTAAAAAATAATGTAATCTCACAAAATTAATGTAAATTAATTACAAAAGCCTCTTCTAGACTGAAGTGATACTTAATGGTGAAAAGCTGGATGCTTTCCCTTCAAGATCAGGAGCAAGGCAAGGATGTCTGTTATTGTCATTCTTATCTAACATAGTGCTAAAGTTATAGCCAGTATAATGAAGCGAGAGCAGGCATATAGAATGGGAAAAAAGAAATCAAACTGTCCCCATCTGCAGATGGGATTATTTATGTGATTATCTCAAGGAATCTACAAGAGAAAGCCCAAACCTTAGAAGTGACTTCAGCAGGGTCACAGGATACAAGACAGACACACAAAAACCAACTGTATTTCTATATACTAGCAATTAAAACAGACACTGAAATTAAAGTAAAATATCACTTATAGTCATTCAAAAATAAATGAAATATTTAGGCATAAATCTAGCAAAACAGGTGCAGGGCTTGCATTCTGAAAACGACATAATGCTGGTGAAAGAAATAAAAGAAAATCTAAATAAATAAAGAGACATACCATTTTCATGGATTAGAAGATGCAACATAGTATAGATATCCAATCTCCCAAACCTTGGTATACAGGTTTACTGAAATTCCTATAAAAATATTTTGCAGCTATAGGAACAATTATTCTGAAATTTATATGGAAAGGTAAAGGAACTAGAATAGCTAAAACAATAATAAAAAAAAAGAATAAAGTGGGAACAATCAGCCTATCTGATTTCAAGACTTAAATAGATATAGGAATCAAGGTTATATGATTTAGGCAGAGGGATAGACACAGATCAATGCAAAAGAACTCAGAAAATACGACCCACATAAATATGCCCAAGCTGAATTTTGACAGGTGCAAAAGCAATTCAATGGAGGAGAGATAGCCTTTTCAACAAATGTTGCAGGAGGAACTGGACATGAAACAAAACAAAAAAAGAACCTCAACCTAAGTCTCATATATTATGTAAAAATTAACTCCAACTGCTCATGGAGTTAAGTGCAAAGTGTAAAAATATAAAACTTTTAGGAAAAAAATCATAGAAAAAGACATTGGGATTTAGAGGTAGGCAAAAAGATCTTAGCCTTGATACCAAAGCCAATCTAAAAGAAAATGATAAATATGACTTATCAAAACTTTGCTCTGTGAAAGACCCTATTATGAGAATGAAAAGACAAGCTACAAAGTGGAGAAAATATTTGCAAACCACGTATCCATCAAGGGCTAGTATCTAGAACACACTGAAAAACTCCCCAAACTCAACAGCAAAAAAAAAAAATTCACACAATTAAATTGGAAAATGGGCAAAAGACGTGAAAAACATTTCACTGAAGAGACATACGGATGGCAAATAAACCCATGAAAAGATGTTCAAACATTAAGGAAATACAAATTAAACCCACAATGAGACATCAAGCACACATATCAGAATGACTGAAATAAAAAATAGTAACACCACCCAATGTTGGCGAGAATATGGAGAAACTGGGTCACTCATACATCACTAGTAAGAATGTAAACCGTACAGACATTTTGGAAAATTGTTTGGCAGTTTTTAAAAACACGAAGCTACCATTCGACCCAACAATTGCACTCCTGGGCATTTATCCCAGAGAAACGATGTTCACATAAAACCTTCTACATGAATATTTACAGCAGCTTTATTCGTAATGGCCCCAAAGTGGAAAACTGCCAAGATGTTCTAAAATGGATGAATGAGTGATTAACCAAACTGTGGTACGTCCTTAACAGACTACTCAGAAATAAAGAGAAACAAAGTACGATACATGCACCAACCTGGATGACTTTCCAAGGAAGTATGCTTAAAGAAAAAGCCATTTGCAAGAGGTTACAATAGTGTGTGATTCCACTTATATAATATTTTTGAAATTATAAAACTAAAGAAATGAAGAACAAATTAGTGGTTGCAGGGGCTAAGGAGGGGGCGGGGTAGGCAGAAGTGGGTGTGGCTATAAAAGGGCAACCAGAGGGATCCTTGTGGGCTGTCTTCACTGCATCCATGTCAGTATCCTGGCTGTGACTTTTAGGGATGGTTTGGCAAGATGTTACCATTGGGAGAAACTGGGTAAAGAGTATTATGGGACTTCTCTGTATCATCTCTTATCAATACAATGATCTCAAAAGAAAAAGTTTAATTAAAAACAACAAAAGACATTGATGCCTGGGACTCACTCCAGACTAATTACATTGGGGTGTTGGGGCAGGTGCGTAGAGGGAGCTAGTGTAAGACTCTCCAAGTGACTAGTGTCCACCCAAGGCTGGGCACTGCTGGTCTAAGGGTCTCAGTGGCACCGTGGGGCTGTAGGCCCATGAGAGGGTGGCTGAGTGCACAGGGCTTTAAGTTCCTCATCCGCCCAGTCTCACTGGAAGGCTCCTTTTTCCTAAAATTAATTTGAAAATCTACTGTCCCTGGGGTATGTGGACATCTTTGGAGCAGAGAAGAGAGCTTTCCAGGGTGAGAGAGTGCAAATCTCAGACCATCTTCCACTGGGCGGCGATGTCTCCCCACCACATACACTTGATCAGACCTGGGCATGACTTTAATACGGAGAGATGCCACATTTCCGCACACAGCTGAGTAGAGTTCTTGGCCCCAGAACTCACCCTCGGTAGTTAGTGCTGACCAACAGAGCACCCAACCAGTAAGCCTGCCCTGGGCCCAGTGCGCTGGGCTGGGCCCAAGTGGAGAAAGGAGCGGGCACCGGGCTACACGCGGTGCCTGGGCCAGAAGGGGAAGTCACGGAGGCAGCCAGTGAGACAAATCTGGTGGCCTGATGAAGCGAGGGAAAGTCCCCTCGCCTCAGTGATGAGGGTTTTATCTCCTGGGAGAATAAGAGGGTAATTTAGAGACTTCATTTGGAAGAAACTGGGAGTGTGGATTCTGGTTTCGGATAGAAATATAATCAGAATATAAACTCAGTCCTACGGCCTCTGCCGTGCCCACCCCTAACCGCAGTTAGGGTAAGGCGCTCTGACTCAGGCTGCGTCTTTCCGAGGGGACACCGCGAGCTGCTAGAGAGGAGGGAAGGACAGCTGTTCTGTATTGGATAAGTGATTATCAAAGATTTCAAAGATGATAATGCCAATAAAGAGACGCACCTGGGGGGCCCAGGAGGACACCCAGCTCCTTCCATCCCCAGTCTCTAGAGCACCTGGTGCCTGACTCCATGTGTCCCTCCAGGGAGGCCCTGCACTGGGGGGAATGTTGGCTCCTAGTCCTGAGGGAAGGCTGGTGGGACATGCTGGGGAAATGTGTTAACAGAGCTTGGAGTCACAGTCCATGTCCCTCCGCCCTGACGTCGGTTCAGCCAGCCCTCCTGCTGAGAGCATGCCAAGCTGGACGGGTGGCTTTTCTCACCCCTCCCAGGAGCATCAGGCCTCCTGTCAGCCTCCTCCTCACTGTCAGTGGCTGGGAAGAAGACCTGGGGTGACTGTCCCTCCGGAACAGTCCACGCTCACCTTCGACGACGCCACATACGTTGGCATACACATCCAGTATCTTTTTCCTTCGACTCTGAATCTGTGAAAATAGTTCAGAGAATGTTAATTTTCAGGAAGGGGGCAATGGTAGCAAACGATGAACCAAGTCCTCCATCTCAGCGTGGGCACATAGCTGCTCTCCCCCGATTCCCGACCACAAATGCTGCGTCAAGCCCTCACATGAACGTCTAATCCACAGGTCAGAGAGAAAGCCTTTCTTTGGGTTATCCGACTCAAGCACCTCCAATGCCCATTGGCTGGGCTGCTTAGGCTCCGCTGGACATGTAGACTCATAAGACAACCAGTGGCCACATGTGGCATTGGTCTGTTTGGAAGGATGAAGGTCAGGGACCCCAGCTGCCAGGAGACAGCCAATAGGCGAGGCTCATGATGGATGGTGTAGAACTGGCCCTGCTTGGAAGGTCCCAGGCCCCCTCGTAACCACTCCATAGGCCTCCAGGGCTCTGCAAGTCACAGGCCCCACCGCAGAGGTCACTGAACTGGACAGCCCCAACAGAGCATGACATCCCTGCCAGAACCCAGGCCAGATCCAGTCTCTCAATCAGAGACACTTTTACCAAGAGCAGCATTGCCTGGCAACGTAGCCGACCGGATGCTTGGACCAGGCTGTTAGTGAACCGCATGCTAGGCTCTCAGGCAGCCTGAGGCAGGGCTTGGCTCATCCTTCCCCACACCCCCTCCCACGGCACGTTCCAAGGTGGCCTGCTTCAGGCGACAAACCACATGGAGCATTTTTACATGAAAATGTGCATTCTATGTCGATATGTAGTTATGTATTCATATAGTACATAGCCATGTATTCACATAGCTATATAATTTTGTATTCAAGTAGTATATAGCTATGTATTCATACAGTATATAGCTTTGTATTCATATAGTATATAATTATGTATTCATATAGTATATAGATAACTATATAAATAGTTATATTTAACTATTTTATGTGTGGTTGGATATAGGCCAGTATGTTTACAAAGGCTTTTTCTGTCCTATAGAATTCCAAGCAATTTTAACCTTTTGTCTTTGCTTATTTCCTTTTATGAAGCTATATAAGAGAAATAAGTGTCCTATTTTTAAAAGGTCTTGCTTTAACTCTGTCGCGCCATCTCGGTCTCCTGGCCTGGGCTGCGGGAGTGCCCTGTGCCCCCCAGCAGATTTGCTTGGGAACCAGCTCGGATCTTTCGGTGCGTGACTCCGCTGCGCGGTAAATCACAGGGTGTGTGCGTGGGCCGCCAGAGCCTCACCCCGGCTGACTTGGTGGTGGTGGCCGCCTTCTCCCTGGCCAGGTGGACCAGCGACAGCAAGCACAGCTCTGGGGAGCCCTGCTTGTCGGAGGCAGGCTCCTCGTCGCTGTCCATGCTCCGGCTCAGCAGCTGCTCGTTCTCAGAGGAGGCGTCGTTCTCGCTGTGGAAACAAGAAGGGGGTTTGTTAACGGGGCCTGGGAGGTGCAGCCTGGACACGTCCTCCCAGTGGTGGGGACGGTCGGGATGCAGAGGCTTGTTTCTTAAGCTTTTCCTAAGCAGCTCATGGGCAGGAGATGAGAAGGGCACAGCCTGCTCTGTTCCTTCCCAGCAGGAAGCTGGATGCAGAGTGGCCCATGGGTGCTGCGGGAGGGGACCTATAGGGGTCAATGAGGTGGGGATGGCCTCAGCTCATTCCTCCACCCCGCCCAGTTTGGGGAAGGTTCCTGAATATGCTACAGTTTTCTATATGCCATCCAGAGAAGCACAAAGTGCAACCTGTGTCTTCATGGAGCAGACAAGTTGATGCGGTTGGCACGGAATTTGTGCCAGCTCTCTGACATAACTGAAAACAAATCTGGGCAGATCCTGAGCCTGGGGAGCTCCTCTTGACCAGGGGGTGACCTGGCTGAGATGTGTGTACCATGGGGTGAGGGCCACAGCCAGCTGAGTGAGGGGCTTTGGGAAATTGCACAGGAAGGTGGGTGGCTCAGTCACACCATCGCTCACTGCCCAGGCCCACGGCCCTAAGCACATGTGGGGTGAAGCTCAAACTCTCAAAATCATTCCAAATATATGAAAACAACATTCATTTTTTACAGGCATCCTGCTTGTTTCCTGTGGCTTGGCTAAAGACCTATATTTGCTAATAATTGGATTATAGCAATGAAGCCCACACTCAACATAATCCTAGAGACAGAATGATACAAAGAAAACAAAAATAGTGGGTGAAACCCGTGAGGCTTCAGGCCTCGGGGAGCAGGCTGGCCTGCTGCTGTTGCCACCTGAGAGCAGGCGAGGTGGGAAGGCACCACTGTCCCCAGGCCGCCGAGCTGCCCAGGTCCTTCCCCTGAGACCTGGGAGAAGGCTGAGGGCATGAAGGCTCAGTGTCTTGTCTTTTAAAACACAGCTGTTGAGTGTTAATTTTTATTTAACATTTGTGTATGAAATAAGCATCATTTTTCCAAATAGGGTCCCCAAATATTTCCTCAGTCTTTAGAGGAAACTTAAGTCATAGGATGAGTGTTCTTTTTCCCACCCTCCTCGTGGGAAAGCAAAAAGGCTGGAAGGACAGATGGAGAGTGGCTGACACACATGGGATTAGACAGATGAAGGCTGGAGGAGCAGCTTGTCTCCAAGAGGCTCGCCGAAGAACCAAGTCCCTGCCACACAGGTGCACGGCTGGGTTTTATCCTGCTCACAGCAGCTTGGACCTGCCATACCCCTTCCAGGTGTGCAAGAAGTTGCTCAGACCACAGATTGGTGGGGTTTTGAAAAGTGATCATTGGCAACAGAAGCACTTGCAGAAATAACCATTTTCGACAGGATGGCCAAGTTGAGCACACACAATTGCTTTCCTTTCCCACTATGCAAAGATTTCATGAGCTAAGTTTGCTTCCTGCCCTTCTGTTAGGAATGTTGAGTTTTCTAAATGAGATAACACGTTTGGTGGTTTTTAAACGCCAAAGCTCTGTGCAAACATCTGGATTCATTATCATTCCTAAGAAGCAGGGCCCTGCAAGGTTCAGGGTCACAGGCCGGGAGTGAGGGAGGAGGGACTAAGCCTCTGCTCCTCTGGTAGCCAGCTTGGTGACTCTCATGGTTTCTGTGCCTCCACCTGCAGTGGGGACATTGTGTGGATGGGGTCCCAGGACAATCATGGGGTGGGCCTTTGCAGGACTCATTCTAAATGACCATACGAGGCAGGGAATACAAAGTTTACTTCCCACCCTGGCCAGGTGGCTCAGCTGGTTGGAGTGTCATCCTGTACATGGAAAGGTCGCAGGTTTGATTCCCGGTCAGGACATAAGCCTGGTCGCAGGTTTGATCCCTGGTCAGGGTGCATGCGGGAGGCAACCGATAGATGTTTCTTTCCCACATCGATGTTTCTCTCTCTCTTTCTCTCCTTTCCTCTCTCTCTAGAGTCAATGGGAATACATCCTCGGGTGAGGGTTCAAGAAAAAAGTTTACTTCCCCTTACCCTAGATGTTAAAGCTGGGGCTGATTCCACATCGCAGAGCGTGTGGTAAATCTGGTAACGACTTCATGCGTCTTCCTTAAGGGGCCTTATTTCACTAAGCGTTAGTGGCTGGGCCACTGCCTGGAACACACACTGGAGCCAGTGGCCAGGACTCGGCCTCCGCCCTGCCACTCACCGGATGTGTGACCTCAGGCACAAGACAGCTTCTAACCTCAGCTTCCTACAAGTGTGCACAACATCAGCACCCGGCTCACACCTTCATGCCTGGGGTGGTCAGCACCGAATGGTGTGCAGCCGCCCTCACGACCACCGTGCAGTGACGGGGATGTCGGTTCTGGGGTCAGCACTGGGCTGACAGCACCTGCACTGGCGGCAGCAGCAATCACATACGCGGGCTGCTGGGAGGAAGGGGCAGAAGCCGTGAGGTCTGCATCAGGAGGTGGGTGTTGAAGAGAAAGGCCTGGGCACCTGGCCCTGGAGGAAGGGAGGCGGCCAACCGGAGCTCCTGGCAGGTGTTAACCACCTGCCCCAAAGCCACCTGGCCCTGCTGCTGGCCGACAGCGATGCTGAGACCCTGCCGGCTGGTCCCCGGGTTGCCCCCTCTGGGGCTGTCCCAAGCACAGCCTCCAGCTGCCAGGCTTCCCGGGGCACTCCTCACCTGGCGTGGCCCGCTCCCCCACTACTCAGGACCCCCGAGGACCCCTCACTTCAGCCTGGACCTGGGGGCAGTCTGGGGCTGCTTTGGTTGGACATACCTCTTGGCAGTCTTTGCTGGAGCTGCGGCCAGCTTCTCAAATTCGCCCTTCTCAGAGAAAATCACCACGCTGTCTGTGGGTAAAGAGAAAGGTTGGGGGAGGGGGGAGTGAGAGTGGGCTCCAGCTCTGAGCTTGTCCTTCCCTGCTCCCTTCCGCAGAGGACCCGCTTGGTGACTAAGTCACACTGCCCCGAGGACTAAGCACAAAGTGGCCGCACTGACACCCTTCCCAGGACCCCGTGCCAAGTGGCACAAGAGCACAGCCAGTTAGGCGGCCAGGCTGCTGGGGCAGGAAAGCTCCGCTGGAGGCGGGCGCCGCGCTGGGGGACTCAGCGTGCAGACCTTGGGCCTCCTTCTGCTCTTCCTCCTGGCTCACTTGGGCTTCGGCAGTCTTCACCGAGTGGCTGGCGCAGCAGGCTAGGGGGAGAGAGGGCTGTGAGCAGCCGGGCTCACTGCTGGGTAGGCGACTGGGGCTGCTCAGGGGAGGGCACAGGAGGCAGGCACTGGGGAGCATCACCTGGGGCAGAAGGCCTCGTCTTCATGATGTAGAACATGATGATGAGGACGATGGCAATGGCCATGATGAAGATGGTGGACATGGCGATGATCAGCGCCGTGGCCAGGTGTCCTTGGCCCGAGAGCTCTGCTGAAGTTGGGGGGAGAGGGCAATGCCTTAGGGCCCAGGCGTCCCTCTGGGAACCCGTCCACCAGGCAAGGCCCTTTCTCCTTCAACACCACGGCCCCTGTGAACAACAGCCCTGCCCTCGGAACACTTCTCGGGGACCCTCAGAATCCGAATCACTTGCTTTGTCTGAGAACCCAGCCCTCCCAGTTTCTCTGGCCACCCAGTCAGTGCTGCCCATGAACTCCCCTTGCTGGTCTCAGCGAGGCAGAACCAGACGTCTCCTGAGCGCCACGGTGTGGGTTTGCTCAGTTGTTCCTGGGGCGCTTGCCTTGGTTCTACTACTCTGAGAAGCTGGCATGCATGGTGAGGGCACCGTGGGCATCTGAAGGCAACCTGAGCCTCACCGAGGACCCGGGCAGTAAATATGCTTGAGACAGGGCAAGAGGGGTAGAGCCAGGATCAGGTCTTACTTGGAGAGAAACTGTGGACCCTCGGGGTCCCCCTCCATCCTTCTATCCTGAAGGGGTTGGGGAGTGAAATGTAGTTATTGGAAGCATATTAAAGTGTTGAGATCAGCAGGTTCGTATGAAAGCCTGCAACAGAACTACTGTTGACATCAGGGCCAACCAAAGCCCAGGACGCTGGCTCCCCTCCTGCCCTCACCGCTCTCGTCCTGAGCAGCATCACCAACATGTTCCAACAGGCCCAGGACACCTGCGGAGTGATCAGTTCCACCCTTGCAGAGACATCCCTAGCTTCTAGCAACTGGGGGCATTGAGTGGGATTAAATCGCATTAGGAGGAGTGATTTGAAGTGAAGAGCTTTACGGTCATTTGTAATAATTATTTCCTCTCTTCCTCTCCAGCCCCCTTCTCCCCCCCTCTCCCCCCACTTACATCTAGGTGGCTAACTCCAGAAGACCAACACCTGGGCACCCTGCCTACCTTTATGGGCGTGCTGGAAAGGAGAGAGGGTGCTGCTGCCAGCAGTGCTGGGGAAGTTGGCAGAAACCCCCGAGGTGGCTCCAGCACCTGCAAGGAGAACAGTCACTGTGGGTCCCTCTGCTCCAGCCCCAGCACTGAAACACGAGGCACAGCAGCGGAGCTGAGGAGCTAAGGTTCCAGGTTATGAATGGACTGGAGAGGGGCCCAACTACCACATGCTATGCAAGTTATCCAAGTAACGCACGCTTATTACTTAAACATCTAGAAAAAGTCAGAACGCAGGAAAGAAGTGAAAGAATCACCTCCAGCCTCTGTCTGAAGTTGCCATTTTGGTGAGTTTGTCTTTAGGACTTTTGTATAATACGCTTTTAAAATAGTTGTGACCAAACTGTTTAAGAGCAGGCAGGAGCCTGTCTTAACTCAAAACTGTGATTCATGAAACTCCCATTCTTTGTCGCTTAGCAGGGGTGACATGGACGCTGAGTTTGTCATCAGACAAATCACTAAGTTGTTCAGTTAAAACAAATGAAAAGACGATGTCCTGATGGTCCACCTTCCTTTAGCCTGGACTTGAGTTGTGCAGTTAATAAAAACGATCATGTTTCAAGTAAGTCTCCTCCTGTCTTGCTTTTGTTTCTACCAGCTCTGAAGTAATTGGGGAAGTGGGTTTGCCCTGAGTAAGGACAAGTGAGTGTCCTCCCTAAAATCAATGCATGTGGGTCCTCCCAGCAGCCCAGCGGGGAGGAAAGACACCGATGCTTGGATCCTGGTCAGCAGGCTGCTGTGAGAAACGGGGGTGTTTTCTTTAACAAAAAGTTCTCAGGAGAAACAAAGCCACGTGCTCTGTGAGTGGTGTTTCTAAAGCCACCACACATAGCTGGGGACACCCAGGCGAGAGTGACCACAGCCAACTGGGAGAGGGAAGTCTTGCTGAATTGTCCACACTCCTGCCGAATTGTCCACACATCTGTGTCCAGTAGGTGGAGAAGGTCCTGGGAGAGAGCAGGGTCAGAAGCTTTTGATTCTCTTACCTTTGGAAACAAATAGAAACTCTACAATAAAATAGAGCAGGCTGAAGACTGGCTCCTGCTGCAATTCTGCGTTTCGGTTAGGTGTCACGGGTTTGAGGGTCAGCCAGTTGCTCAGGTTGGACAGGAAATTAAACTGTCACAGGTACATGAGACATGTGAGTTGCCACTTGAGGGGCGAACAGGCAGGTTTTTAGGAAGCACTGCCTTCCTGACACCCGGGGCCAGGGCTGACCCTGGGGAGGGTGGCCAGGTGAGGGTGTGCCCCGCTGGTGCGGCCATCCCGCTGCCCTCCAGCTCATACTCAGAGCAGTTTTCCATGAGATTAAAACACCGGGCTTGGCGAGTCAGGCGTCTCCTCCCTGGGGATTCGCCACTTCCAGAGCCCAGGGACTTCACTCACTGGAGGTTCCTGGCCTCTGCCCCTTTGTCTGGTCTCTGTCGCCTGTGGTGTTGCCTCAAACCTGTTTGTGGGTGTCACCTACACCCACACACGATGGTGGGCCAGGGCTTTCCCTCTGCAGGGCACAGTGAGCCCTGTGGTTCCTGCTTCTTGCCTTCTATTTTCTCGACTGCTGTCACTGGATGGCTTCTTAGCTCTTCTGCCGAGAGAGGGAGGGTGCTGAGAGGCGTAAGGGGCACTAAGGCACAGGCCAGCAGGGGCTGCCCTCTGATCCACAGAGACCGAGAGGTGACCTGCTCAGAACAGGATGCCAGGCTGAGTGAGAGGCGGCCCTGACCGTGGGTGGCGGGTCCAGGCTGAGTGAGGGGCAGCCCTGACCGTGGGTGGCGGGTCCAGGCTGAGTGAGGGGCAACCCTGACCGTGGGTGGTGGGTCAGGCTGAGTGAGGGGCAACCCTGACCGTGGGTGGCGGGTCAGGCTGAGTGAGAGGCGGCCCTGACCGTGGGTGGTGGGTCCAGGCTGAGTGAGAGGCAGTGCTGACCGTGGGTGGTGGGTCAGGCTGAGTGAGGGGTGGCCCTGACCGTGGGTGGTGGGTCAGGCTGAGTGAGAGGCAGTGCTGACCGTGGGTGGTGGGTCAGGCTGAGTGAGAGGCGGCCCTGACCGTGGGTGGTGGGTCCAGGCTGAGTGAGAGGCGGCCCTGACCGTGGGTGGTGGGTCCAGGCTGAGTGAGAGGCGGCCCTGACCGTGGGTGGTGGGTCCAGGCTGAGTGAGAGGCGGCCCTGACCGTGGGTGGTGGGTCCAGGCTGAGTGAGAGGCGGCCCTGACCGTGGGTGGTGGGTCCAGGCTGAGTGAGAGGCGGCCCTGACCGTGGGTGGTGGGTCCAGGCTGAGTGAGAGGCGGCCCTGACCGTGGGTGGTGGGTCCAGGCTGAGTGAGAGGCGGCCCTGACCGTGGGTGGTGGGTCCAGGCTGAGTGAGAGGCGGCCCTGACCGTGGGTGGTGGGTCCAGGCTGAGTGAGAGGCGGCCCTGACCGTGGGTGGTGGGGTCAGGCTGAGTGAGAGGCGGCCCTGACCGTGGGTGGTGGGTCCAGGCTGAGTGAGAGGCAGTGCTGACCGTGGGTGGTGGGTCAGGCTGAGTGAGGGGTGGCCCTGACCGTGGGTGGTGGGTCAGGCTGAGTGAGGGGCAGCCCTGACCGTGGGTGGTGGGTCAGGCTGAGTGAGGGGCAACCCTGACCGTGGGTGGCGGGTCAGGCTGAGTGAGAGGCGGCCCTGCCCGTGGGTGGTGGGTCCAGGCTGAGTGAGAGGCAGTGCTGACCGTGGGTGGTGGGTCAGGCTGAGTGAGAGGCAGTGCTGACCGTGGGTGGTGGGTCAGGCTGAGTGAGAGGCGGCCCTGACCGTGGGTGGTGGGTCAGGCTGAGTGAGAGGCGGCCCTGACCGTGGGTGGTGGGTCCAGGCTGAGTGAGAGGCAGTGCTGACCGTGGGTGGTGGGTCAGGCTGAGTGAGGGGTGGCCCTGACCGTGGGTGGTGGGTCAGGCTGAGTGAGGGGCAGCCCTGACCGTGGGTGGTGGGTCAGGCTGAGTGAGGGGCAACCCTGACCGTGGGTGGCGGGTCAGGCTGAGTGAGAGGCGGCCCTGACCGTGGGTGGTGGGTCCAGGCTGAGTGAGAGGCAGTGCTGACCGTGGGTGGTGGGTCAGGCTGAGTGAGGGGTGGCCCTGACCGTGGGTGGTGGGTCAGGCTGAGTGAGGGGCAGCCCTGACCGTGGGTGGTGGGTCAGGCTGAGTGAGGGGCAACCCTGACCGTGGGTGGCGGGTCAGGCTGAGTGAGAGGCGGCCCTGCCCGTGGGTGGTGGGTCCAGGCTGAGTGAGAGGCAGTGCTGACCGTGGGTGGTGGGTCAGGCTGAGTGAGAGGCGGCCCTGACCGTGGGTGGTGGGTCAGGCTGAGTGAGAGGCGGCCCTGACCGTGGGTGGTGGGTCCAGGCTGAGTGAGAGGCAGTGCTGACCGTGGGTGGTGGGTCAGGCTGAGTGAGAGGCGGCCCTGACCGTGGGTGGTGGGTCCAGGCTGAGTGAGAGGCAGTGCTGACCGTGGGTGGTGGGTCAGGCTGAGTGAGAGGCGGCCCTGACCGTGGGTGGTGGGTCCAGGCTGAGTGAGAGGCAGTGCTGACCGTGGGTGGTGGGTCAGGCTGAGTGAGAGGCGGCCCTGACCGTGGGTGGTGGGTCCAGGCTGAGTGAGAGGCAGTGCTGACCGTGGGTGGTGGGTCAGGCTGAGTGAGAGGCGGCCCTGACCGTGGGTGGTGGGTCCAGGCTGAGTGAGAGGCAGTGCTGACCGTGGGTGGTGGGTCAGGCTGAGTGAGAGGCGGCCCTGACCGTGGGTGGTGGGTCCAGGCTGAGTGAGAGGCAGTGCTGACCGTGGGTGGTGGGTCAGGCTGAGTGAGAGGCGGCCCTGACCGTGGGTGGTGGGTCCAGGCTGAGTGAGAGGCAGTGCTGACCGTGGGTGGTGGGTCAGGCTGAGTGAGAGGCGGCCCTGACCGTGGGTGGTGGGTCCAGGCAGGTGGGGGCTCTGCGGGAAGTACACTCACCTTCCTCAGGAGGATTCTGAGAACTGTGAGCATGTGGCTTAATGTAGCTGTACCTCTACTGAATGTGATGACAGGGTTTACTAAGAGCCTTTGAGGTCTGTTAATCCACAAATTTATAAATGTGCTGCCGTGCATTAGATATGGCTGGCGCTCTCTACACATGGCAAACACCTTGGGGTTTTAGGAGTGATTTGTTTGTTGATTTTTACAGCTGTCAAGGAGGGTGCCTGCGGCTGCTGTGCTGGCTCAGCGCCTCCTGCTGACAGAAGCTGGAACAGTGGGCAGGGCCGTCGGACCTGGCCACTCAAGTGGGTCCGGGACCAGTTTCTTACAGGACCCCTGAAGACGGTGTGACAGACACATTCCCTTTCTCCCACTCTGTCTTTGGTTCAGTCTGCATTTCTCCCGCAGCCTTCAGGCTAAAAGCTCCCTCTACAGATGTGCTAATTGTTAGAGGAACTCTGCTTGGGGCTAGAGTTTTGGGAGAAACAGCCTCTTGCCAGGGGGAGCGTCTCCCAGGGAGGTGAGGAAATGTGTGAGGGGATGGTGACCCGGAACAGAGATTTAGAGATTTCACACTTTTCCTTGGTGGCCAGATGCCTTTGGTGGTCAATCATCTGTCTCTCTCATTCTCTCTTCCTTTGACAAAAAAGACACCTGAATTCTGGGCTCTCAGAAGATGGGTTTGAAAAACCATCTGCTTTGTGGGGCACCTTCTCAATCAGTAAAACTTTCCTTATCCCAAACTTAGCTGCTTTGAACACTGGCCTTTTGCAGTGTCAGGCACATGGACCTGGGTCCGGTAACAATGGGTGTGCACACTTGAGTTTAAGAAACACTGCTTTGGAAACAGCTGGAAATGCATCTGGGGAGGCCAAGGCTTCACGTTGGAGTTCTGTCGCTGTTGGGCATCACACGTTGGCCTCTGGAAGGAAAAGCAACCTCCTGGTGGCAGAGTGGACTTGACTCAGGGTCATAGTCACTGACTAGTGATCATAAACATGTTGATGACAAGGGAATAATTGCTCGGTGCCAGACCTCATGGATTCTTCCAGCACTCTGAGGAAGGGGTTCCTGCTTTCCATTTCCCAGGAACCAATATCGCACAGGAGGCCAGCGATAGGAGGTGGAGGGAGCTGTACAGGCTCCAGAGGCCTGGGTTGGTGCTCACCCACTAGGCTGGGGCTTCACCACAGATAAGTGCCACGTGCACACTGGAGGGGGGCTTCAAACACACTTGACACGTCCTCTCCTCTTCCCGACAAGCTTATGAGATAACTCCCCATTTTACAGATGGGCAAACTGAGGTACAAAGTTAGGTAACTGTCCCAAGAGTGGAAACTCTTAACGAATCCCTAATCTGGTGGCACTTCCTTTCCTCCCCTCGCACCACGCCATCTCCTTGCCCTAAGGACATGGATCCTTCCGAGGTAGTCCTCAGGCACGTGCATGGAAAATAGAAAACCGAAAGCTTTAGTTGCACCACATGGCTCTTGTTGTGATATAACTGAAAAGTAACCAAAGGGTTTCTTCTCTCACTTCCAGGACAGAGAGTGTGGGGCCTGGGGGTCAGAAGGAGGGAAGAAAGGCTTGAAGCTTCAATGGGGCCGCTCACAGCAGGAAGGGAGATGGCTGGTTTCAAAGCTCTGGATTACCCAGGTGCCCTTGCCTCACTCGGTTTACGTAAGAGTCATTACTTACATTTGTTATTTGGGAGAGAAAATAGAAACTGAGGGAGGTTTGTGGCTTCCACAGCGTTTTCCAGTCCCTGTGTACCAGTCAGGCCTGTCCTAAGCTCCACACATGCGTGTTTGCCTGAAGGTGACAATGGCCCAAAGGCAGGATCAATGGTGACCAGTAACTATCCTCTGGCTTCCCTCTCACTGCTTGATGGTGCTGGAAACTAGGATGATTTTTTTCCATTTTAACAATAACTGTGTGCCCTGCCACTCCTCCTGAAGGTATCTGGATGGGCCATGGAACAGTAACCAGTCTGCGGGTGCAGCTCAGTTCAGCTGCACAACAGCTGGTGAGGTGGGTGTCATTGGCAGGTGAGGAAACTGAGGAATTTAAGCTCAGGCCTTGAAATTCTAGAGCAGAGTCCATAACCCACACCAGGGCTCAGTGTGATCCCGGCAGCCCCTGGGGACCTGTGAGCCCCACCTGGGCATGCTGAACCTGGGGCTCTAGTCACTACAGCCCTTGGGGTTTTTATGAGGATCTCAGCCCTGCACGTCACAGAAGCCATGATATCTTTAAGGACGGAAGAGCACAGGACAGGAGAGTGACTGTGGCAATGAGAGCTCCAAGCACTGATCCAGGCTGTGCAGTCCAGGGCTCACTCTTGCACAGCCACACTCTGGCTTCTCCAGCCCTCATCTGTGTGCATCTGTCACACGCTTTCCCTGGCGTCTGTGCCAGGTTCTCTTTGACTGTAGGGTGCATAATCCACTATCCTTTCACTTGGGCTACCAAGAGCATCAGCTCCACATGGCAAGGGCCCAGGTAAACCACATCCAAACAAAACCAAAGCAGTCTTCTTGGGTGGAGGCACAGGACTCTCAACCACTGACCAAGGCTCAGGAGGGTCAGAACCTGCTGGGCTGGGGCTGCCAACTGGCAAACTGGGGTCCTGACCAGTGAGGTTCCTGGGTTTGCTGGACTGGGGCTGCTGATGGCAGTCCTGTGGGTTTGGGCCTCAGCATCTTCCTAGAGGCTGTGGTCATTACTGACCCTCTAGTTCTGTCTTCTGGTTCCTGAGCCGGAGCCCTGTGCAGGGGGACTTGGAGAGCCCAGAGGTGGAGAGAGTAACTTTCATGTCCACACTTGAGAGCCTGACCCAGGCAGGGCTCCATTCACCGCGTCACCCCACACGGCCTATCTGGTTGCATCTTCCTGTTTCCCAGATGGGCGCGCAGAGGTTCCATTTTCCTGGCTGGCCTCCTTCAGGGCTGGATTCTATGAACCACTAGGAGTTCTTACTGGGTGCTGCCTTTCAGGTAAGTAGTTAAGGGCTGTTTTACAGTCTTCAGGGCTGAGGGGCTTTGCAAGCTCCAGGAACTGAGGACACACTGGGAGTGAGCTTTCACACAAAACGGCCCATGGGGAAGAGTTGCTTGTTTCCTGGTTCCATAGGCAAAGAGCCTTTTCTAAGTAGGCGGTGAGTGTCTAGCATCTTCCCAGTGAGGACTTCTTTCCAGAAATATCTGGTCTGGAGTGGGTTTAGGTTCTCCGGCAGAAGACTCGTCAGCAACCTGACTTTACCACAGTCCTACTGGCAGCCAGGAGCCCTTGGGCTTCCTCTAATTGGTGAATTAATTAGCACATGGCTGGGTAGGACCAGCTCAGCATTCCGAGACATGCAAATTCATTAGTGCCAGGCTCCTGTACTTAAGCAGCTTGGAAGGGAGGGACTAGCCTCTCCCCACCACCCTAAAGGTGAGGGGAGGTGATGCTGACCTCTTCTTGCTCTCCTTCCCTTCCGCCCAGCCCTCTCAAGAGAGACCCTGATTCTATTCTCTTAGATAAGGTTATGGTGAGAAAATGAGATGGGCAGGGCCTCATGGAGGCCCAGGAGAGGCAGGGCTCCAGTGTGGGAACATCTTGTGGCCTGGAGTGGGAGTGGAGTGGGAGTGGAGTGGTCCAGGGACCAGGCTCCCAGTTTCCTCCCAGCTGCCCACCCATTCCTCCTTCATTAGTGTCTCTTATGACCACAGACCCAAGAGACTGCACAAGACATTCTCAGAGCACAGGTTCCTGGCCGTTCCTCATCAACATGCCCATGAAAGTCAAACCAAATTAACAGAAAAGAAAGAAATAGCCCAAGGTGAGATTCTAAACTTGTGAGACTCATTGTTGACATATGCTTCCTGGAATCTATTTCATTCATTGTAATCACTTCGTATACTTCTCATGGCCCCACCCAGGGAGCCATCTTTTGTTTAAAAAACAGGTATGAGAACTAACAATTGTCTAGAGTTCTGTAGTACTTTGCAAAATACCTCACATCTGTGATCTCATTGTTTTACCCAAGAATTGCATGACACAGATAATTTAGATTTTAGTAGCCTCAAATTACAGATGAAGAAACTGAGGCTCATAGAGGTTATGAGACTTATTCAAGGTCACTTGTCTAAGGTGACTGCCTTGAGTCTCGGACTCATAGTTCAGCTACAGCAAACTTCTTCCACAGACTTGCTGTCTGGCTAGGCCACGGGAGCATTTTTGTTTATGCTTTCACTGTACTTAGCTTGTCTAGGTGCCAGGACTGGCCTCTGTCTACCCCACTGTGTAATGCAAGACACCGATATTGAACCAGTACCCTTCTGATAGAAGGACCAAGTGCACTCACATTCCTTGGTGTTGGGGGGCGCCAGGAGGCAGGAATAGCAGACCATGCCGTAGATGTTCCTGGGTCTGTTTTCCAATATGTAGTAGCTACAGGGAGGGCAAGACAAGACAAAGTAGGCAGGTGAGCTGGGCGCTACCACAAGCAAGTGCTGACCACTTGGCACACCCACGACCCAAGCATGATCCAAACAGGGCCTGAGACACACACCTGGGAATCAGGAGCCCTGCTGAGCCAGCAGCCCATTTTGATCACTGAGTTTCCTTGGAGGTTTTCAGATTTTCTTAAAATGGATCCCCCTCCCCCCCCCATATTGGGCCAGTTTGGGTCTTATAAAAATCTCCTCCCCTTTTTGGTTCCTTTCACTGACGAATTTTACTGTATGCATGCCCTCACCACCTTCATCAACATCATTCACCTCGATGTCTGCGTGCCTACCATGTGTATGCCCTGCCACCACGTGTGTGCCCTGGTTAGCTCTCTGGGTGTCTTGCCAACCAGGGATTCAGGCACCTTTGGAGAAGGAGCACCCCCATGGCAAATGCCCAGCTCAGAGCCCGTAGCGTGGGGGGTTTACTGGCAGATGTGTCTATGCCTGTGGCACTGGGACAGCCCAGTGAACACTTGCTGACCAGCAGTGAATGGTGCTGGCTGGCAAAACATGGCTTACAGCAATGTCTAGAGGTCACCACAGAGGGCTGTAGAGACAGCCTGGAGCACAGCCAGGTCATCACTGCAATTTATTTGCTTCCCCCTCAGGAAGCACTTGACCAAAGACGCCAATACAAGTTTGTGCTGGGGTCGCACAAATTTGAGAAAATGACAAACCCTTCACAGTTATGTCTTTCAAGCTTCCCGATGTCGATATGCCAGCCCCATGACCATGCTGACTCTCAGGACATGTTATCACAGAGCTCTGCTGCCATGGGTTGGGGTTCTCTGCAGGCCATACCACCTCTTGGATCTCTACCTCCTGGCCCGCCCTCCCAGCCTCTCACTCAGACTCCTTCCCACTCGCAGGCTTTGACACTTCTCTTGGTGTGTGCTTGGTTTCCATAAATACACACTCAGCGATGGTCAAGTGCCATCTATCACATTGTGAGAAATCAATAAATAAGTGAGCTGGTGCTAATGTTCTTCTTACTACAATTTCAAAAAATGAGAAATCCCTCTCTGCTGTTGAAATTTTTCATGATTATCTTCTCATCTCTTTTTCATTGGCCGTGCGCACCAGGCAGTGCTGATGGCAGCGGTAAGTGGTAGATGGTGCAGGACTGCTGGGCAGCTTCGGACTCCAGCCACTAGAAGCCGAACCATCATCAGCAACATTATGATCATAATTACCTGCCCTTCCTCAGAGCGTCTTATCCTCAGATTCCTGTGTATCTTATAAACATTAATTAACCAATCTCAAAACATCCCTCAGAGAAGCCACAACAGCCAGCTTCACAATTAAGCCTCTGGAAAAAAACCTCTCTCAGACACATATTCTGTCCCCCCCAGAAGCCATCTGTGCTCGGAAGCAGGAAGCCATTGGGGCACATGGAGCATCGGCTGCAGGAGGGGACATGTGTCTGCATGTGGCCTCCCCAGGGTGACAGGCTCCAGGTCAGCCAGGCCCGTCTTCCTGCAGCTTTCTGACATCCAGACCCTGTGTTGCCCCTGTGACCTGAGAAGGAATATATCTGCCAAGAAGGACTCCCCTTGGTTAACTGGGCCCAAGCTCAGAAGGAGAGCCTGGCAGCCATTGCCGACAGAGGCCTCTCAGCCAGGCTGCCTTTGCCGGCATAACTGAGGCTGGACCTTCACCTCCCCCTGCGCTCCGGCCTGCCGCCGCCCTTATAAAGGAGCCCAGGTACTGCATTTCAACCAATGGGCCTCCATTTGAAACCACACAGCTACAACTTCATCTGCATCTTTACTACCCAATCGTTAGAGTTGCTCCGTAGCAACCAATCAGAACACGTGAAGCTGACCGACCAGCACAGTGCTATTTGGACCAGTCTGTGCAAATCTGTATTCTTCATTTGCATAAAATTGGGCCATTCAGGGACTAGCCTGGGGAGCACACCTTTGGTTTCCACCAGGAGCTGCTTCTCCAGGTTTTGCAAGCTGTTTATCTGAATAAAGTTTCTCCTTTATCACACCCCAGACAGGGGACTAGTGTTGGCATTAGATTGGTGGCAGAGAACTTTTGCTGACACCACTGTTAATTGCTCCCCTTCTCAGCTGCAGTCCTCTCCCCCAGACTGTGATGCCTCTCTTCCTGACCTGGGAGTGCCTCAGGGCCGGCCTTGTTCTTCCTGCATTCCTAGTCCCTTGTGCTAGGTACTGAGGAGGGAAGGTTCTAGGCAAGGATTGATTGGAAAAGAAGTGAATGAGACCAAGTTTTCTCTATAGAAGTTCAAAGTGCTGAGACTGACAGAAGAGCCAAGGGAATTTTGTACATCTTTCCTCCCGTTTAAAAGAGCAGAACCACAGCTAAGCCCATCCTCATGAAGAGCCTGGTGCTGAGCTCCATTTTGGATGAAAATGCACAGCCACCTGGGTGGGTATAGGACACTTGGTCTTAGGACTGGGCTCCCAGTGGGTCCCCTGGGCCACCAAGCTCTGTGCACACAGGGTTGCTCCATCCTGGGATCAGTTGGCTACCTTGCTGGGCACACAGGCACCTTCTTGGGCAATGGACAGCTCGGTCTTCCTGAGTGGGCCTTATCATGTTTTGTTCCCAGAGGCCCTGGTGGCGTCTGCTGTGTCTCCTGTCCTATGTGTCTGCACCAAACTGTGTAACGTATTCAATAGCTTAGTTGAGGAAACAGTATTGAGGGGCTATAATTTTTTTTAAAAATGTTGGCTTCAGGAGGTTGTTACAAAACCATGAGTGTTAAATATGTCACACATTTCCCAGCACGTGTTGCACAGCACATTGTTAAATGTGGGCTTTTCTCTTTAAGACTAAGCTCCACTCCTCGTGTTCAGTCCACCCCCACATCCCTTATTCCCCGTTGGACAGAGCAGAGACTCACTGTTTAGCTTCTATCAACTTGGAGCAGGGTGTTCACTGAGGGAGCCGTGCCCTGCTAAAGAACATTAGCCCCTCTGTCTGCCTGTAAAGGTCTAATTTCCTACTCTTTGATCTCTACTTGGACTTTTCCTTAGATCTTTTTTCCTTCTGCTTTTCTTCAAGGGTTGATTAAGGTGCGTAACCCAAGACCAGACTCAGTTTAAAGGTGCCTCTAGAGCCTTCTATGTGTGCAGATTTTCTCTGAAGCTTCCTGTCTCTCGGGGCTCCTAAGCTTGTAAGGGATGCCACTGAGCTCTTTGGCGCTCCCTTGGCCCCCTACGGTGTGGGCATGTAGAAGCCACCTCTGTGTCCTTTGCCCCTGTCCTCCAGCGTCCCCGGGTGCCTCAGCTGCAGGGAGAGGACGCGGTGTGGAAGCAGGCCAGCAGGAGCCTCTCCAATGCGTAGCGTGGTGCCCTGGGGGCGGTTATGAAATCTCACCTCTTCTCTCTTCCTCTTCTCATGTTTTGTTCCCTGGTCCTCCCACACAAGCCTTTCTCAACAGGAAAGCCCCGTGCACTGCTCATTGTTCAGCCAGTGTCTCGGCCACGAACTGACACACAGCAGAGATGGCAAAGAATGAGGGGAGAGCGCTTGCCAAACCACAAGGGGGAGCCGGCCAAGGCGGCCTGCGGTGTCAGGAAGACAAATGGGAGGCAGTCTGCATCCGCAGCCCGGGGACCACAGGGGCTCGGGCATGAAAACAGCCTTTCATGGGGCTGAGAGCACCAACTTGCCAAAACGCCTTGTAATCCCCCTTTGTGACAAGCCTGAGAGCTTCATTTTGTTCCCCAAACCCAGGGCAGGCAATAGGAGGAGGAAGCCCTTTGGGGTCCTACCCCGATAAAGCACTGTGCTCATTAGAGCCAGTATGAGGAGGTTGGGGACTGGAGATAAAGCAGGGGCCTTCTGTTTCCGTGGCCTTGGGGGTGGGAGTGATTTATTTGAAGTCATATCACAGCACAGAGCCAAACTGGAAACTGACTACACATGTTCGCATCCCGGGAGTAATGCGAGGGCGCACAGCACCCCTCACTCACCCAGCGGGTGCTCATGCCTCGCCTTGTCCTGGGTGCTGAAGACAAGTGTGGAAGAAGCAGGTCACTGTTCTCATGGAGCAGGGAGGCAGTTACTCAAGATTTCAGGCTGGAAAGATCCTTTGAAGAGTACAGACGCCGGCCTCCCCTCTGATTCTACAGAGGCGTGTCCATATCTTTGAAGCCTTCTAGGGGCAGGGAGCTCACAGCCATTCCATTGTCAAACTTCTCACTGGTACATGCATTGGGACCAAGCCACTGTCTTCATTGCCACAGAGCAGCCTCTCTGGTGGCCGAGCTGGCACCTGCCCATGGGACAGGCCATTTACTGTGCTGGTCCCAGGGCTTGTCCCCTCTACTGGAAAGTCTCTGTGGCTCTAAGTAAGAATGAAACAAGCTGCTCAATGTGCACACTCGCTACCCCTTTTAGATCATGTGGAATAGAGTCAGGCTGGGTCTCGCAGGCCACGGTGGGTAGGAACAGCAGCTGGGTCAGATGGCAATGCCCATGGGCTAGGCTCCATCCTGCCCCCATCCCTCTTCCTCCTCTATGGAGCTGTTAGTGGGGCAGCCCACCTGGACCATCGCTCCCACACCATCAGTGGGTAGGTGACTTCCAGATCCGGCCTGAGCTTTGTTTCTGTTTATCCACCTATGCATTAGACACATTGGTCTGCACGTAAGAACCACCTCAAATTCCACACATACCCCCTCCATCTCTCCTCCACCTCCCCACCCAAATCCTCCTATATTCCACTTCTTAGCAACGGCCTCACTGTCCACACAGCTGCCTGAGGCAGACACCCGAGAGGCCTCCTCCAATCTCCTTTCCTGCGACTCCAACCGCCAGTGCTTTTGCCTCATCTGGTCCTCACAACTTCCCACCTCATTCCTGTTCCCCAGGCTCCCGTCTCTTCCCTACCTGACAGTTTTTATCTCCACTGCTGCCAAGAGGATCATTCTGAGGTACAGCCGGATTGTGTCCTACACCAGCTTCTTCGTCTGCATCAGTGTCAAGCTAAAGACACGGGTCCCCAGCATCGTTTCCCAGAGTCTTTTCCATCTGCCCCCCCACTAGTTTCTCCACACCCACCCGTGTGCCTTCCACTTGGCCGCAGGGACTCAGCTCCACGTCCTGTGAGACGGCTCACCCTTTGGGCATTGGCTGGGCACCTCCATTGGAGAGCTCTGTTCCACTTCTCGGCCTGACTGACTTCCACCCCTCCCAGCATCACCCTGAGAAGTCTTCTAAGACCCCTCCTGACCCCACCCACAGAGTACTGGCCCTCCCTGGACTTCTCGAACACTGTGTGTCGCCCCCATGCTGTGGTCACGATTTTCTTGTCTCTNTGGCCCTCCCTGGACTTCTCGAACACTGTGCGTCACCCCCATGCTGTGGTCACGATTTTCTTGTCTCCTCCACTGAAGAGAGGCCCCACGTCCTTCCTCTTTGTCTCACTAGTACCCACCTGGTACANCCACCCACAGAGTATTGGCCCTCCCTGGACTTCTCGAACACTGTGCGTCACCCCCATGCTGTGGTCACGATTTTCTTGTCTCCTCCACTGAAGAGAGGCCCCACGTCCTTCCTCTTTGTCTCACTAGTACCCACCTTAATTCACTCTCTTAATTCAAAGGTTTACTAAAATAAATGCTAGGCTGTGAATGTCAGGCCAGATTCTCACATGACAGGCTCTCAAAGTAAGTCAAGGTTTTGCAAAAAGGGTTATTTTCTTTCTGAGGTGAGCATGGCAAAGGGAGCACGCTTTTCCTCAACACATCTATGTAGTTAATCCATGAAACACTGAATTTCTTTCCTGAATTGTGTACCTGCACCAATAAAAAACAATCCAGAGAAAGCTCCAGGAACTATATAAGTTATCAGAGATGATTCTAGCATCTAATTCAAGATCTCTCTCATTCAAGCACAGTATTTGCACAGAGCAGCCCCTCAGTGGATGTTTGTACCATTGGTGGGAAGCATCGATTCTGCTTCTCTGACAACTCTTGGTGGAGCCTCCGCAACACAATAATCTCAACACCTAAACTAGAGTACCAGCTCAAGAACTGCTATTTCATAGCATTTTCAAAGAGAATAGTTTAATATCTTCCCTGGTTATAGCTACCTGTTTTTTGCTTTTTGCATATTGAAAAATAAAGTTCTGCAATAAGGTTCCCATGCTTTCTCTATTCATTTGAAAAATATTTGTGAATCGCACTGTGTGTCAGGGACACCAACAGGGGCTGTCCCTCAGGTGTTTGGAGAGGTAGGTCTGTAGCTCAGGAGGTAGGTCTGAACAGAGGGCAGAAAACTAGGGAGACTGGAGGTGGGGGGCAAATCCCTAGCAAAGCGGTGGTGGGAGCCATGGAAGTGGATGCTGCTCAGCAACAAATCCAACCTAAGGTTATATTCTGCAAGTTTAAAATATCTCATTTTAGAGAGTTATTCACTTTCAATCTATTGGTAAATTGGTAGGACTTCCTGCCTTTTTTGTTACTTCCCTTTTCTTATAGACTAATACTCCCTGTTCCCATTTGAATATATTCTTATTTTCTCCCTCCTCTCAATTCAATACAATGAGACAGCAGGTAAATGAGCAGTTTGTAAAGTACAGGATACCAGGACCTCCTCACTGCTGCCTCTAACATCACCGCCTCCACCATCACTGCCTCCGCCATCACCACCTCCACCATCACCAGCACCACCACTGCCGCCTCCACCATCACCACCTCCACCATCACCACCTCCACCATCAGCAGCATCACTATCACCAGCACCACCACCTCTGTGCCTCCACCATCACCAGCACCACCACTGCCGCTTCCACCATCACCACCTTCACCATCACCAGCACCACCACCTCTGTGCCTCCA